GTAAATCCAGAGATGTGAGCATTTAAAGTTTAGGTGTATAAGAATCACGTTTTGAGAAAATCAGCCTCAAAGATAAACTAACCTGTACTGTACAAATAATATGACTAGAATTACAGAATATGTGCAGAGAACACTGTCTTGGCAAGAAATTTCACTTACAAAGTATACAATCATAAAATATAAGTATCAAGTTATTCAAAAACATTAAAATCAAAATTTTGTAAAAATGTTGATTTTGGCCTGTTTTGGTGAATATCTCAATATTATTTCACCAACGATGCGTCTCATTTCGTGGTGAGACCTCACATATGATTATGATTATTAAATAGAAAGTAACACTTACAGGTTTATCAGCTGGTGGCCTCATTATGCTGTTGTTCCCAAATATAAACGTACGCTGCAATTTTAGCAAATCAAATAATCCTGGAAATGACCATGTTTTCCATGGATTATCATAATTATTAAATAGAGTTCCTTTGTTCCGTGATGATGTAACTTGTGAATCCATTCGATGCTTCCATGGCCCTTCAACAATCTTAGGCTCTTTCAAGGCCATTTTTGTTTCAGTTTAGGGAATTCCCCAAGTTTCAGGAAAGGACTCAAAAGGAAATTCTTGTGATTTAATATTCTCCGGATGATTTAACAGGGATTATACAAAAATTCCTGTGAAAGAAATGTACTGTATTAGAAATGAAGATTAATGGCTTAAGTAGATCTAATTAATGTGAATAGCGGGGAGTTTGTGTGAACTTTTTGGGAATTATATATTTAAGATGGCCTAGTATTATTAGTATACACCAAGGTATTACCTAGTACAGTACTAGCAAAGCCAGCCTTCTATTAGCCCCGGTATTCAACCCTCGGCCTACCAACAATTTTGATCTGGCTTGCAACATTGCTTAATAAAGATTGAATATCTCGACCAATTCTACTGAGGAAGCAAGATTACTTGCTAAAGAAGTGAGACATTTTCAGGCCTACAAAACAATTGAGGCCTATCATGAAGTCGAAAACTATCATCAATCTTATAAACCAAAGGCTACATATTATGTGGACAAAAGGGAATGAGTCGATGGGCTGTAATCCATGGAATATCCAGGACAGTACACAACAGATGGGCATGAACTGGACACCAGCTTATAAAGCTTGAATATACCAGGGTCTGTGTGAAAGTAATTATGAAGACCCGTCTGTAAATCTATATAGGGCAATGCATATAATAAAGGAAAATAATTTTACATTATATGAGGGCATAAGTAATAAATGTAGTCCTAACAACAGTACTCGCAGAGCCAACTCAATGTTCTCACTCGAACACTGGGCGAATCCCGGTCCCCTCGGACCATATAACTCAATTGGCATTTAGCGCCCCCCAATTGGCATTTAGCGCCCCCCCCCCACACCCCTTTTTGTGTAGTTTTGACTATTGAAAATGCTATTCGACAAATTGCCATAATTAATTCACTCCACTACGCTACACTTGCTCTCACCGCACATGCAAGACCTAGGCAGGCAGGGTAATTGTTAAGGTCTAGCTAGCCTACCCACCAACCCAACACATAAACAACAACCTAGGCCTAGGCCTACCCCAGATGATGGTGAGACGTTACGCATGAAAACTGACACTCAAATGAAAGAAGACGTAAAGCCTATTGTTATTGTCTGTAGTATTGTTTTGTACTTACCTAAGCACTGCCTAGGCCTAGTAACGTTGGCCCTATACATCAATGATGGTCATCCATGTAATGTATCGCTTTCGCTGCTGATGAAACATCTTGAAAATTGAAAATGTAAACAAAACCGCGCATAGCGGAAGTAGAAAATAGAGGTCGACCAATCAAGATACAGGGAATACATTATAGGCTTACGCAGGCAATGTCAATGTGAAAATCAAAGACAGGAAACACAAAAAAAGAAACATGTGGTAGAAAACAATTTATAAAAATTAGGGGCCTATCATTCAAAAATTAAATATCAATTCACAACTTAGGCCTATTACATTAGATTCCGAAAATGCTCATGCAAATTTTATTTGACAACCGTTGAGTTACAAACCATTTTTTCTTATTCCTTTTTCATAAGTAAACCAATGTAGGCCTACTTACTGTTATTATTGTTGATTAATTATTGTTTATTTTATTTTTTTCAAGTAGCAAATTACTAACTTGTTCCTCCGTCAAACAGAAGCATGAAACTTCCAATGATCCAAGTTCAAAGGGGGACAAGCTTATACCGCCTACTAATAAATAGCAATCTTCTAACTCCACCCAAAAACTAAATCAAAACAATGTAATCACCTTGTCAACTAGAATCACGAATGTCCCAAGTGGACTCGCAATATCAATTCCCGAGCCAACGTTCCACCCGGGGTTCTACAAAAGGCTGAACTTATACTGTGTTCTGAAATAATGAAGTTATACTAGAATTCACAAAGTAGACCCACCCAGACTGAATTTTTGTTGCAGACTTTTTTTCAAAAAACTGCTGCTTTTATAGCATTATTTATACCCATAAAACACAAAAATCCTCTGGCTTCGGGGGTTTTGCTGACCTCATTGAGGCTTCGCCCCCGGACCCCAGAGAACCCTCATTTGGAAAACTGAAGAACCTGGCTACAGTTCTGGTTTATTGTTTAATATTCTATTGTGAAGAGGACCCTAAAAATTGACTACAGTACTATGGGGTTCGCCTCTCAACCACTTTCTCGACCCAGTGACTCGTCGTTACGCCACTATAACGTGCCCTTGTGGTACACTATATTTCTCAAATTGTTTTATAAAATAAATTACTGTAGTGCTTTAAAAATTCCCTTCATCGTCACATGCCTTCGCGATATAAATGATTGAATAAAAATCTACACGGCTATGATCTGATTCGATTCTGTTTTATTGAAATTCTAAATGCATCGACTTGACTGACCACACACTTCTTCTAAATTCATTAAAAAATGATGGTATTAAAAGTAAAATAACTGATACAACGAAACAAGTAGTAAAATGTCATAATTAATTATCGGGTACCGGTATCGCAAGCAATTTTTTTTTTCTTTAGAACCAAGATTTTTTTTTTTTTAATTTTCCTTATGCATATCCAGGTCGCATCCAAGATCTTGCAGCATTGATGATGATGGTGGTGGTGATGAAGTATGACCTAATTTTGTTAAAGCGTGATGCTGTTAGCCATCATTGGTACCATGATGGTAACATGGTTACCAAATGATGTTGACACCAGTCTACCACGTTGAGGTAGCATCGCCGACTTCAGACTGGAATTATTTTGTTTTCCTATTTTACAGCCTTAATGGCCTTAATAATAATAATATTATTATTATTATTATTATTATTATTATTATTATTATTATTATTATTATTATATTACTATATGTTATCGTTGTAGTTATTATATATTATATTATGTATTATCATAATATAATTTTTATTATTATATGTTATCACTATTTATTAGTTCTAAAATAATTAATTAATTCAAGCCTATATTGTATATAATACTTATAAATAATCAGTCTTTTTTTTTTAGCAAAATCGTACTTATAATCTTATTTTGTTGCGCATGGTACTCAATATTAAATTGTACAATAAGTTTTACAAATTATTACAATTATCATATTTACTATTATTGATGATTATCATTAATATACTATATCAAAAATTACTTTATTATCTAATAGCTGCCGATGACCGGGAAATAGTGTTAAGCCAGGACCACCGACTGTCCCCGAAAGGACTTTTTAAGTTTCAAAATATTATTTGTTAGAACTACAAATGTTAGACACAGTGTATCTATGTTTATGAAAATTCCTTTTTTTTTTTCGTTTTTCATTTATTACTATTTTTTTATTTAGGCCTATTTATTTATTTATTTATTTTTTGTTAACTAGGAATAGGCCTACTATTCCTAATCATTCATATCCAATTTAACGAAAAGTTTAATTTTTATTTTATGAAGTCATAGTTGATATTTAAAATCTAAACTATTACTACGATAAATTCACAAAAACCTAATATTTGGCTATTTCGTCTCTTAGTCAAAGTAGCTTACGTACGTTCCGGTCTCAGAGTATAAAATACCAATGCACCTGATTATTAACTGCAAGTTTCATCACACACACACACACACGTCACACAGGGAGCTTCTGTTTGGGAGTGTTTATCAATGACTTTATACTTTACCTGAATGCAACAAAAATATGCCGCTAAAATAATAATTATTATAAGAGAGTATTGTAGCATTATTGAAATTAAATAGAAAGCTTTCACGCCAGCATAAGGATTATTACAAATATGTTGATTAGTTAATTGTTTACTTACCGTCCTTATTTTCCTTTCGATTTTAATTAATGTAAGTGTACTTATTACCTGTTAACTCCTGTTCCTTACATAACAAAAAGTTTAGGTCTAGGTGTTAGAATTCACAAATATCAGGAAAGACAGAGTCAAAGTTTAACTCCATTTGCTCACAAGTGGTGTGCAACATCCAAAATGCCAGTGTTGAGGGCATAACTGATCTAAACGGCTGGTAGTCATCGACCAAGTTTCTCATAGCCTTGCGTCTTATTAAATCTATTCTCATTTTATCCCATATAATATCAGTTTTACAGATTGCTACGTCGCATTGTACATGTATAAAATCTAAGCAGGTTACTGTATTAAGCTTAAAATTGAGAATCTTCAGTATTTTAGCCTCTGCTTTGGCAATTGCTTTTGATTTAAAGTATCCACCCTGAATGCATTCACAAGCATATGGGATGATGTGACGTGCTTGATATCTGTCGGAAGACTTGAGGGCAAGGCACATGGAGGCTATTGCCATTTCTTCAAGTTCTATCAAAGTAAAAGTTGTATCATAATTATGAATGGTATTTTCTAGAATTGTAATGCAGTGGTAGAATACATTATCTTCAATTACATAACCATAACGTTGCAAGTCGGTGAGGATAACTGTAAAAAAGTTGTACATGTGATTTCGTGTGGGTTCTGCAAAGGGTGCGTATTTTTCCCATGGATCTGAGGAAGTAATGTTTT